GGATCCACTTGTACCGCACACGCAACAAACCGGACTAAACAAGCCGAGACGATTCCCGCAACGACAGAACACGTATCGATTATCCGGGCCGGGCTCCACTGCGCACACAGCGAATTCGGCCAGACCCTGAGCCTGGGGACCGAGCATGCGCATAAATTTGATCACCGGCGCGTGTGGTTCTGAAGTGCCCAAACTGCACAGATTACCACGACCGGACATGCTGCCAAACTGTCGACTGAGTAAACCGAATCCATCGGGTCGATGAGCCGGAGTGGACTGTGATTGTGAACAACAAAAATGTATTGCACGGGAAACATATATATATATATATGGTGACAATGTCACACGAAGCAATGACAACTTCATTGGGATCAATCAGGACATGAAGCGTTACACTGGTTTATTCGTCCCCAAAAACCGCACAGAGTGATGACAAGAGCTGTGAATGACTGATCATTCAAATTTCAGACCTGCTGATATAATTGGCTTTCACCTATCCTAATGAAAACCCAATTACTCACCGTCTTTCACCTTGGTAAGTAATTCCTACACACAGTGAACTTGACAGTGATTAGTTCGCTTCAAAGATATTTCACTCCACGGTGACGTAAGTGATGAGCGCAGCGGTTGTCAGTTGATTGTTTTGTCAACTTGATTGCGCACAGTACGCACGCGCATACTCCGATTAAGAACGCTTGTTGTTCCCGACAAGTTGATTGTAAAATTTGTGAGTACGCACAAAGTCCCATACTAGGTGGACTANACAAAGTCCCATACTAGGTGGACTACTCTCAGTGATTGTGTTCCGGTCCGTTGAAAGAAAGACTTTCACTTACTGGCAAGACCCCTAAAACACACCTCGAAATGCCGTGGTATCTCTGGTGGTACACTTGCAGACACTGTTATGGACAGACATCTAGAAACACAGTCGCACACACTCTTTACACAACGAACTTTCGAAAGCTATATCGACGTCATCCATCGGCCCAAGATTCAAGCTTTTATTTTCACTTCCCTCTTCACACCGTAATTTCATTTTGCCATATCCCATTCGTCTAGGAGAAAATTTCTGCAAAACAAGGCAAGTGCTTGCTTCAGTGATCAAGTTGATTTCCAGAAATCTTAATTTCAATTTGCCTGATTAGTAAATTTACCTCCACAAATAGGGCAACAAATGTTAAAAATTCGTCCAACCGGATGCATAAAGCAACGGCAGACCTGACTTAATAGAGAAGATGACTGAAACAGACGCATAAAACAGGATCCTAAACAGATTAGAGTGGTTGGTCGGATAATATTTTCCCATGGTTTTAACTCGATTGGCACCCTGATGAAACAATTCAGTTTGATTACTGCAGACAAAGTATGCAATGCTGTCAGATGCATACTGCATGCAGCGGAGTGAGTAGACCGATCACAGATGGTTTAGGCGAGGTTTTCTAGTCACTTTATAGCATGTTTACGGGAATTCTAGACAAAGCATGGATTGCAAAATTGGACAGTCATTAGGAATTGAAAAAAGAGAAAACTGTTTGTTTTGGTTGCCATAAACTGAGTTGAAAACCATTTCCTCTTCTTTTATGCCAGATAACAAACTATGTAAGTATAATTTTTAGAGTGCGGGGAGAGGATAAATAAGCTGTATGCCTATAGGCCATTAAAGCACAACTGAACCGAAGGCATTTCAGTAAGTTAAGAATCGATCGATTGGATTGCGTTACAATCCTGTCATTTTCAGAAATGGTTTCAAATGTAGTGCAAATTCAACAGGTATCGATCATCGAGGAGAAGTCGGTGTGACATTGGCCGACAGCAATGCGCATTTAGGTTGATTTCAAAATTTCTGAACGTCATGATATTCTATATTGGCCTCTTGGGACCAGAGGACTAAACGTTGTGGTTTCGTTGAGGAACAACTGCTTATTCGATATCCTGTCCCGCTGTTGCGTACACACACACACACACACACACACAGTTCCCTGGAGTGTTGGCGGCCAGGTTAGGGCGTCTGATTTGTTCTGGTGACACAAAATAGTATGGGGCAACCATTAGATTACTCTTTTCATTGTACGCGACCTTCATATGAGGAATAGAAACAAACTCATCGTACAGCGCGATACAGTGAAGCGAAGCTGGGTGATTGCTGTCGAGCTCACAATGTACACCGAGAAAGTGAAAAGGGGAAATCTAGATAGCAAACAAGCCCGTTTTGAGGGGCAGGGTGGGGGTGAACTTTATACTATGCTATTTCATATTGCTCCCTGGTTTAAAAAACAAACTAACAGATTTCACCATGTTCCACATATCCTTCACACTTTTGCTTCGATACAGGCTCACTGACATGACTGTTTTAATTCAGTTTTGTTTTCAATTTGCAAGCCCTTTGATGCAAGTGACAGGTTAACTGATAGGATAATTCGTGACGTGAAGTACTGTCTGCATCACGAAACGAATCCACCCTTTGGGTACATAAAGCGTTTCTTCAGTTGACTTAAATAATCATAGGACTGTTGTACAAAGTCGCATCTCCTTATAATTTGCTCTTTTCCTTCAAGGGTGCACTTCGGTACCCAATATAATCTAGTACTATATATATGTATGTATATATATATATTTCAGTCAGAAATTTCATAGGTTCCCACCTAATTTGTAATATCGAACGATGTAATGCGACAGGTGTCCCCCCGAAAGCTCCCATCATGACAGTATCGACGATTACTGCCAGTGCATTCCCTACCACATAATTCGTGATAGATCTGAAGACATATGACAATCTACATGTTCCATTTAATTGCTGCCAAATCATCCGTGATGTCCATCTATTGCTAGCCGTTCCATTTTAATTTATTTTCAATCACCTGACCGCTCTGATCGCATTGTTGCGCACACCCTGCAGAGGTTTCTACTCAAATATGTACAAAAACCCTTGGTGGCTTCCGAACTAATAATGGAAGTGAAAAGTGAATACGAATGGGACAGTGGGGAAGAAGTTCTGCGGCCCACAGTACTCAATCGACGGCGATTGTACAATTCACTCACTTTGGAATCGTAGAACTTTTTCAGTGAGTCATATTGGATGGTGCCCAGGAAACAGACACCGCGTATTTGTCCAGACAAATCATAAGCGGTGAGTTCTACGCACAAGCACTCACTGTCACGGATCACGCAGCCGGAGAAAATCTGCACATAAAAAGACGACAGAGACAGAGAGAGACAGGAAAGCGGGGAGGGAGAGAACCGAAAAACAATCAGGATGCGAGCTTATGACGGAGAAAAATATTGTATAACATCACCTTAATGAACGCTAATTCTGTGAGTTGACCATGGAATATATAGATTTAGACAAACTGCTATCAAGGATGATCTATGACGAGCAGATGCAGAGCATGTGGTCAGCTGTACAAAGCGCGGGTATCTGTTAGAACGGAATGTTTAAACGATCAACAAACGTACGCAAGCGGAACAGGTGACTAGTGTGTGCAATGGGTATTCGGCTAGATGTTTCAGTTTCAGTTTGTACAACCATTAACCATGCACTTTCGTGCACCGGTTTTGGTTGCTGTCTTTTGATTGCCCA